GTGTGTGGAAGAGGTCAACGGTTACACAGGAGGACACGGAGCGCTCATACTCCGAGGAACTGCAGTTAGGAGGCAGCGGTGAGCCTGCGTCTGCTCTAAGGGCAGACTCAGGACACCGAGCCTAACCTAATGTTCCTCGCGGAGAAAATTCGTCCTGCGCCTCTGTCTATGCAGGGGCCTGGCTCCTGGCTGCACTGCACCGGAGCAGGGAAGGACAGAGTACTTGACTACAGCTGGAAAAGTTTGTGGAAAGTTCATTTCATTTCTTTTTCAATTCAGTTCCGTTTTTCTTTGGAAAATGTAGTCTCTTGCCATTAAATTATAAGCATTCTTTTCCTACATTTGCGTTGAGAATGTCCGCTATACTCTCCTTAAAAAGCAATGCATGTCAGATAGAACTCGAGAACTATAATTGTATTCGAATCATGTCGAGATAGAAATGCATTTGTAATCATGACACCCCTTCACCCCGAAGATGAAGTAAGCTAAATCTTTGCTTTTAATACAGATAATTATGCAAACATGCATGATAGCAACTTCACATTCTGAATATTATGGGAGATCTATTTGTATTTTTTTTAAGCAAACTAGGAAAGAACAGCTCGTGCTAATTAATGAACTCAAAGGCTAGCCAGGAGGTGAATGTGGGGAAGGAAGAGCCATGTTAGATTTGGCCCTCCTTGAACAAACCCTTTATAAACACGATGGAAACAGATTTGCAAGAAACTGTCAAGAGGCTGTGGAGCTCTTGAAATTGAATTGTGCAAAAAAAAAAATCAACTAATTTGTCTTCATTTTCAGAAAGAAATAAAATATGGGTGTCAGAGTCGAAGAATTGGGTTATTTATTCCATTTTTTGGAAACTATTCATGCAGGATCGACAACTCCCTGGAAAGACCTGCTTAGGGAAGCCAGGGAGGTAGACGCTGGCTGGAGGGAAGAAAGCAGACTGTGAGGGACTTGGCTGGAGTTGGAGGGGAAAGGTCAGCCATTGAGCTGCCGCTGTACCTAACATTAACTAAGAAAGACTGTGAAGAAGAAAGATTGAGCACAATTAAAACGTGGTAACCCATGACTCCATTTTCCCAGGGCCCCTCCACACCGTAGCAATCTCTTACTCACCTTGTGAGCAATATTCCCGAGTATTCCTGTCCTCCTATACAGGCAAATGCCATTGCCTGGCCCCCTAATTTGTCTCTCCTATTTTCCCAAGAGTTTCTGTCTTTCATGAGTGCTCTCTGAATCTCTCTCCCTCTCCCCCTTGACAGATCTACCCTCCGTGGGACAAAATCTCCTCCTCCCTGTCCTGTCCAAGGCCGATCTCTCCAGGGCTTTGAAGGCCCCATGCCATCTTGGTGGATCACACCAGTGCTCGGCCCTCTCCTGGCCTCTCTTACCTCTTTTCACTTATGCTTTCGTCCTCCATCTTTGCTTGATTTGGATCATTGTCAGAGCCTGTCTCTCTCCTGAGTCACTGACAACTAAATTAAACGACTGCATTCCCCACCTCTTACTCTTACGTCTCTCAGTCTGGCTTCTGTCCTTCCTCTCTTGTGCATGTTTGCTCCTCTGGCTATGGTAGAGCCTCAGAAGTCGTCTTCCAGTCACCAGCTCCCTTCTCCCTAGTGAGCTCAAAACCCAAACACCTTCCCTGGTTCCCGTTCCTGCAACGGTAGATTGCCTTTGTTCCACACGTTTTTGCTATTGCAGCTCCTTGCATAGGGAAGGACCTGGCCCTGCTCCTGCCTGAAACAGATGTATTTGTTGTCTTTATCATGTTTTCTACAAGTATCTTTTGCATGTTGTATTACAGGAACTACAGTTTCAGGGAATTTTCTAGAGTAGTTAGTGTCAGTGCTGCAACAAACAAACCTAGCCCTCGCAGTGACTAACACAACAAGCCGACTTCCTGCCCACGTAACATTCACTACAGAAAGAGCAACTTCCTTGGGACCAGCAGTTAGCGTAATGGCTATGTCGCTGGACTCTCATGTAATCGACCACGGTTCAAGTCCCGTACCTGGTGGCTTAAACTCACGCCGGGCGCGTGTGTGTGCGTGCCCAAGATCCCGAGAGGAGAATGGAAGGAGAAGGGATTTCTTGCTTTCTGTCTCTGTCTCTCTCTGTCTTTCTGGCAAGCACACAAGCCCTATAGCGAGGAAAAAAAAAAAGAAAAAGAAAGAAAGAGCAGCCTCCTTGTAGCCACACTAGTCAGAGTTAGTGGGGCAAGAAAAGAATGGCTTGAAGGAAACACAACAGCTCTTACCCACCTCAGCTGGGGGGACATGCGTCACGTCACTCACAGGATAGCACACTGGCCAGAAGCAGGAGAGGTGGGAGCATAGAGTTGTTCAGTGAGTATTTTCTGCCTCTGCCACAGAGGCCGTCAGGGTATAACTGTCTGAGCTGTCACACTGGTTTCACTTCTACCAGACAGGTGATGTTGTCGCACACCAAACAGTCAAACCCATGGAGAGTGCAAAGGAAGTCATGCCGTCAGCTCATATTCACTTTTCAGACAAACATTATGGGATTCCCCTGTGCGTACAATGCTGTTTGATACGACGTTCTATATAGTGCATAGCAACTTCACATTCTGAATATTATGGGAGATCTATTTGTATTTTTTTTAAGCAAACTAGGAAAGAACAGCTCGTGCTAATTAATGAACTCAAAGGCTAGCCAGGAGGTGAATGTGGGGAAGGAAGAGCCATGTTAGATTTGGCCCTCCTTGAACAAACCCTTTATAAACACGATGGAAACAGATTTGCAAGAAACTGTCAAGAGGCTGTGGAGCTCTTGAAATTGAATTGTGCAAAAAAAAAAATCAACTAATTTGTCTTCATTTTCAGAAAGAAATAAAATATGGGTGTCAGAGTCGAAGAATTGGGTTATTTATTCCATTTTTTGGAAACTATTCATGCAGGATCGACAACTCCCTGGAAAGACCTGCTTAGGGAAGCCAGGGAGGTAGACGCTGGCTGGAGGGAAGAAAGCAGACTGTGAGGGACTTGGCTGGAGTTGGAGGGGAAAGGTCAGCCATTGAGCTGCCGCTGTACCTAACATTAACTAAGAAAGACTGTGAAGAAGAAAGATTGAGCACAATTAAAACGTGGTAACCCATGACTCCATTTTCCCAGGGCCCCTCCACACCGTAGCAATCTCTTACTCACCTTGTGAGCAATATTCCCGAGTATTCCTGTCCTCCTATACAGGCAAATCCCATTGCCTGGCCCCCTAATTTGTCTCTCCTATTTTCCCAAGAGTTTCTGTCTTTCATGAGTGCTCTCTGAATCTCTCTCCCTCTCCCCCTTGACAGATCTACCCTCCGTGGGACAAAATCTCCTCCTCCCTGTCCTGTCCAAGGCCGATCTCTCCAGGGCTTTGAAGGCCCCATGCCATCTTGGTGGATCACACCAGTGCTCGGCCCTCTCCTGGCCTCTCTTACCTCTTTTCACTTATGCTTTCGTCCTCCATCTTTGCTTGATTTGGATCATTGTCAGAGCCTGTCTCTCTCCTGAGTCACTGACAACTAAATTAAACGACTGCATTCCCCACCTCTTACTCTTACGTCTCTCAGTCTGGCTTCTGTCCTTCCTCTCTTGTGCATGTTTGCTCCTCTGGCTATGGTAGAGCCTCAGAAGTCGTCTTCCAGTCACCAGCTCCCTTCTCCCTAGTGAGCTCAAAACCCAAACACCTTCCCTGGTTCCCGTTCCTGCAACGGTAGATTGCCTTTGTTCCACACGTTTTTGCTATTGCAGCTCCTTGCATAGGGAAGGACCTGGCCCTGCTCCTGCCTGAAACAGATGTATTTGTTGTCTTTATCATGTTTTCTACAAGTATCTTTTGCATGTTGTATTACAGGAACTACAGTTTCAGGGAATTTTCTAGAGTAGTTAGTGTCAGTGCTGCAACAAACAAACCTAGCCCTCGCAGTGACTAACACAACAAGCCGACTTCCTGCCCACGTAACATTCACTACAGAAAGAGCAACTTCCTTGGGACCAGCAGTTAGCGTAATGGCTATGTCGCTGGACTCTCATGTAATCGACCACGGTTCAAGTCCCGTACCTGGTGGCTTAAACTCACGCCGGGCGCGTGTGTGTGCGTGCCCAAGATCCCGAGAGGAGAATGGAAGGAGAAGGGATTTCTTGCTTTCTGTCTCTGTCTCTCTCTGTCTTTCTGGCAAGCACACAAGCCCTATAGCGAGGAAAAAAAAAAAGAAAAAGAAAGAAAGAGCAGCCTCCTTGTAGCCACACTAGTCAGAGTTAGTGGGGCAAGAAAAGAATGGCTTGAAGGAAACACAACAGCTCTTACCCACCTCAGCTGGGGGGACATGCGTCACGTCACTCACAGGATAGCACACTGGCCAGAAGCAGCCCTGTGGCCTGGGACGTGGGAGATGTGGGAGCATAGAGTTGTTCAGTGAGTATTTTCTGCCTCTGCCACAGAGGCCGTCAGGGTATAACTGTCTGAGCTGTCACACTGGTTTCACTTCTACCAGACAGGTGATGTTGTCGCACACCAAACAGTCAAACCCATGGAGAGTGCAAAGGAAGTCATGCCGTCAGCTCATATTCACTTTTCAGACAAACATTATGGGATTCCCCTGTGCGTACAATGCTGTTTGATACGACGTTCTATATAGTGCATGGTGTTAGATGGCACATATTTTGCTGGGGGTGACTTGGAATCAGGAAGGAGGTGGGGTTGGAGGTGAGTTTCTGCATTTGTAAAAAATAAAAATAAAAAAAAAACCTCTCAGACATTCAAGATCAGAGGAATGTAAATACAGTCATGGACAAAAATATGAATGTTTCCAAAAAGTAAAGCAAAAGGAAGGAAAAGTGGGAGAGGGAG